TTTTCTGGCATCGTTCTCCAATGTGACACCTGCCCCATGTCTCAGGAAAGTGGGCAAAACCCTTGCTTAGTGGGACTTGTGGTTGACAGGTGTTTCCCTCTGTGGCGAAACGGGGACCCACCCTCAGCCCTGGGAGACTGAGCAGCCATTATGTGGCTCGCAAGCCCCTGTTTTTGCCTTCCCACCCTACCTGGTGGGTCTATTTCCCTTCGTTACACGTGGCCACCACTCACTGAATTGACACCACCTTCCTAGAGGGACAGTGAGACCCCTCTGGCTGATTCCCCAACCCCGGGAAGTTGGTACCACATTCTTTGGGCACCCCCTGGAGAGTTGGCAACCCCTCCAATTTGGGCCCATTTGTGTTCAGCGGTCATTTCCTGCAGGAATGTACAGGAGCAGAGCTCCAGCAGTAAAGAGCCCAGGGGGCGGGCACATGCAACAAGCCCCACCCCCTGCTCCCAGCAGCCCTCAGGTTTTGCCCATGAGGGGCCCAGCAGTGGACCTGCAAGGCCGGCGGGAGTGCAAGGAAACCCCGCGAAGGCCCTCCCTGGCCCCAGGCAGGCAGGGGTGGGGAGAGGCAGGGAGGAAGCAACTTACCCTCCCTCTTCTCCTGCCTCCCCCTGGCTGAATGAGGGCCGGAAGCAGGGCGGCCGGAAGCAGGGGCGGGGCTTTGCCATGTGCCCTGCCCCCCCGTACCTCACCTGGGGGAACTGCGATCCCCCGCGATCCCCCCCGAAATGACCTCTGCCTAGTACACTTTTTAAAAGCATCATATGGCTGTGTGACTTGGAGGTGGCAGGCACCGACGTCCCAACTAGCCTCCCCTCCAGTAACTAGACTTTTCATATTGATCGTTGTTTTAGATAGATTTCTAGATATATTTTAACTGTCGATTTGTTATAGTGTGAATTCCATGATGGAACCCACCCTGAGCCCGCTTGTGGGGAGGGGGGGTACAAACCAAAATAAACAAACAAACAAACAAACAAATAGTCTGAAACGGAAAATGGTTCCCAGGCTGAACCTGATATATTCCTGTGATTTTCGAGAACAGAACAATACTCTCGAATAAAGAGTGCTATAGCGATATGTTCATTTAGCGTAATTTGCGGCAGATTGTGAGCTAAGTGTTCAGACAGGCATCCAAATTTGCCAACAGACACAAAGTCCATTATCCCACAAAGACCAATCGGCAGGAAATTTAAAAAAAAAGTTTCTTCTATTTTCCCGTCTTTGGGAGAGAGTGTTAATAATCTGAAAAGCTGCACCGAATCCTAGCTAATGGCCATTAGTAGCAAAAAAAAGAATGAGCCCTTGACTTGAAACAGCTTTGGTATTTTCTCATTTGCTGTATCTGTGTGATGCGCCAACATATAAATCCCCCAAGTTTTATGATCCCATTCTGAACCCCTTGCCTGCTCTTTGAGGTGGAATCCGCATGCCCATGGCAGGCATTAAATTGTATCTGTTTTTATGGGTAGCTCCTAAAAAGGGGGAGTGTGGAGTAAACTTGTGACAGTGGGACTTAGAGCAGTTTGTCTTTTTGTGCATCAAGTAAGTAGGATATTTGCCATAAACCATGACCTCTCATCGCTCATGTCACAGATGTGTTTCTGCAGCATAAAACATCAAATTGACTTGTGGGGAAATGGTACCCTAGGTAGTAATCTCCAACTTGTCTCCGAAATGTCTGCCGACTCATTCTGTCGCTCCTCCATGGGATGTCTCCACATCCCTAGCCCAAGTACAACCCCCTGGAGTTCATTCAAATGTGGGATTGGATGTGGAAATAACAAGTTCTTCGGGGGGGGCAGTGTTGGGGGAGAAGAAGAGGAGGAGGAGGAGACTGAATTTATACCCCGCCCTTCACTCGGAGTCTCAGAGCGGCTTACAAACTTCTTTCCCTCCCCCTCCCCACAACAGACACCCTGTGAGGTAGGTGGGGCTGAGAGAGCTCTTTCGAGAACTGCCCTTTCAAGGACAGCTCTGACAAAACTATGGCTTGCCCAAGGTCATCCAGCAGCTGCAAGTGGAGGAGTGGGGAATCAGACCCAGTTCTGCCAGATTAGAGTCCACGCACTTGACCACTACACCAACTGACTCTCTGACAGTCCACTTAATGCCATGGTAGGACATTCCCCACTGGCCTCAGAACGAAGAGGGAGGGGCTTCCAGCACCTTGTTTTCCTCCCCAAATCTCCCTTTCTTATGGCCTGCGGAGAGTAGCCAGATAACATCCTCATCGGCCCACTCCCAGCAGTTTTTAAAGGCAACCTGACTGGCCACAGACACCTCCTGGTTGAGCCTGTCCTCCTGCAGAGATTTCTCTCCCTGCAGGAGGCAGGAAACCTGCCAGTTAGTATCCGCAGCTGAACATCAGCTCCCCATTCCCACCCTGAGCCATGCTGAGCCACCACTGAGCAAGTTTGGTGTAGTGGTTAAGTGTGTGGACTCTAATCTGGGAGAACTGGGTTTGATTCCCCACTCCTCCACTCTCAGCTGCTGGATGACCTTGGGCAAGCCATAGTTCTGACAAGAGCTGTTCTAGAAAAAGAGCAGTTCTCAGACAGAGCTCTCTCAGCTCCACCTATCTCACAGGGTGTCTGCTGTGGGGAGGGGAAGGGAAAGGAGTTTGTAAGCCACTCTGAGACTCCCTTGGGTAGTGAAGGGTGGGTTATAAATCCAATCTCCTCCTCCTCCTCCTTCCTCCAATGCTAGCATTGGCATCTCTTTATAGAGATGGACTCCTGGGATGGGACCTGCCTGCAATGGGTCCCTGGAGTAACCCTTTGGTGAGTCTGAGGGGAGGACTCTCCATTCCTGGACATACAAGACCGCCCGGGAAGAACAGCCAAGAAAAAAAAAAGCGAGCCCTGCCACCTGGGTGCCGGTAGGCAGCCCCAACCCCTGTAGACATGTGGCCTTAGCTAGGGATAAATTCAGAATTTGTAAGCCGCTCAGAGACCCTTCGGGGTTGGAGCGGGGTAGAAATCTAAGATATAAATAAATAAATGTATTCAGCCATCACAAACACAGATATGCTTGTAATGAAACCAAGCCAGCTTTATTCTTGGGTACCCCTTGGCCTCATGTACTAAGCAGTGGTTGAAAACTTCCTAGTTCAGTCTTCAGCCTAACTGTAATTAGCTGTGAGGTGCAAATTCAGGCACAGTTTCTTTGTCACATACCAGGATTCTAACAATATATAGTTTGGAATCTTGGTTGGTGGGTAAGATCAATACCCCGATTTGCTGAACTAGCTCTCGAGCAAGGGAAACCTTTACCTTTACCCTTTTTACCACATATTGTGGTTAGAATAAAGAAACTAGGACATTTGTAAACTCATCTTTGCATGCAAGGGAAGGAGGAAAGAGGGAAGGGATTTATAAACCCAAGAATAAGCTAGGCTTGATTTCATCATGAAAAACTGGGTCTGATTCACAGTCTCTGAATACAACCTTAGCCTCGGTTCAGACGTAACGTAGAACCATGGTTTAGTTTACTTGCGGCTCAATTCAGACATCACACACAATGGTGGTTTAATTAACTTTGGCCCCTGCCACACGAGGGAAGAAGGTATGGCCAAAGTGCGGCTTTTAAAAAGCCGCACCTAAATAGGCACGCGGCGGCGGGATCATAAAGATCCCCTGAGCCGCTGTGCATTTGCTCCCCGGCACGATCAGATGCCGGGGAGACGGGGAGAAAGGCACGGGAGTCTGCTGAACTGTGCATGTCAGAGCATGCGCAGTTCAGCAAGGAGTCGGGGATGCGCCGGCGAAAGAACGCGCCGGCGATCCCACGGCCAGCATTCCTGTGGCCGTTAGAAAAGAACCACCTCGGGAGGTGGTTCTTTTTTGGTGCGGATCATCGCTGGAAGGGCCGGATCGGGGACGGAGACGGTACGCTTCCCAGATGTTGCGGTGGGATCGCGCCCGTTTGCTCCGCCCCCGTTCCGTCCCTCTCCCGGCCCTAATGCTCTCGTGTGGACAGGGCCTTTGACTCTCAGATGAGCAATAGACTACAGGTAATGAAATCGTTTTCTTCCCAGTAGTACAAACTGGGATTAAACTGTGGTTTAAACTTCTGGAAGGTTGGCGGGGGGGGGGACAGACTTCTGTGTACCCAGGAAGCTCCATTCAGATGTCATAGGAAACTGGAACTTGTTTTATGATTCCCCAAAGCCAACCCAGCCTTCAGTCTCGCACTCCTTGCACTGTGGGAGGAGATAAGGGGAGGAGCAAAGGGAGTGAGCAGCCATGAAACAACTTTGTTTTCCTGTTGCATTTGGCCAAGTGGATCTGCTCCTGGGTAGTCTTCATGGTCAAAGAAGACGGGGACGGCAAAGGATGAGATAGTTAGACAGTGTCATAGATGCAACGAACATGTAGTTGAGCAAACTTCAGAGGACGGCGGAAGACAGGAAGGCCTGGCGTGATCTGGTCCATGGGGTCGCGAAGACTCGGACTCGACTGTGCGACTGAACAACAAAAGTCTTCATGGCTGACGATTGTGTCCATGTCTCCTTTATTTATTTATTTACTACTTCAAATTTGTATCCCACCCTCCCCGCCTAAGCAGGCTCAGGGCGGCTTGCACAATAAAACATAACAACAATCAAATATCATAAAACATTTAAAACAATTCATTAAAACCACATTATAACAATATAAAGTGCTAGCAATAATGCTTTTATCGTATAAGTGGCGCTATACATTGTATAGACTGAGTATTCCGCTTGTTGATCTTCTCGTATCTGAACGGCGGGCACAGGATGTCAGCAGTAGACCAGGCGTTGGCGCTACAACTAGTGATGGTACTGGTGGCGGCGGCTCCTAATTGAAGGCCTGGTGGAAGAGCTCCGTCTTGCAGGCCCTGTAAAAGGTCCCACAGGGCCCTGGTCTCTAGCAAAGACTCGAGACTCCTCCCATTCTGTTCTGGATAATACCTAGCCTACCCTTGCCAGTCACAGTCTCTCACTGCAACTTATGTCCTTTCAGAGCCTCCCATTGGACAGATGCATCCTCCCCATGGAAGCGTGACACCCCAGAAGAACAGCAATCTCCTCGTCATTATCGTGGTCACAGTTGGGGTGGTTACTATCGTGGTAGTGGTGATCGTGGCTGTGATTTGCACGAGGCGTTCATCGGCTCAGCAGAGGAAGTAAGTTATTTGAATGGGTGTCTGTGCCACTCACCTTACCATCTTACCTTGGATCGAGACTAACCTGTTTGTTTTCTGTGATTGATTTTCATCTTAAGGTAAATTATGTATGAATCCAAAGTAGATGAGACCCGGAAGGTCTGTGTTTGAAGCCTTCAGAGTGTTTTCTTTGTAAACAGCAACTGCACGAGAAGAAGGGTGATTAAAATTTAGACCACACCATAGGGGAGAGAAGTTTAACCCTGTCTTCAACCTAACATGACATCGCTGAGCTATACCTTGCCCTGTTAGTACAAGAAGAAGAAGATATTGGATTTATACCCTGCCCTTCACTACCCAAAGGAGTCTCAGAGCGGCTTACAATCCCTTTCCCTTCCTCTCCCCACAACAGACACCCTGTGAGGTAGGTGGGACTGAGAGAGCTCTCCCAAGAACTGTCCTTGAGAGAACAGCTCTAAAAGAATTTATGACTGACCCAAGGTCACACCAGCAGCTGAATGTGGAGGAGTGGGGAATCAAACCTGGTTCTCCCAGATTAGAGTCTGGACTCCTAACCACTACACCAAACTGGCTCTCAGTGATACCTACAACATTCAGTGGTCTAGTAAAAAGGACCCAACCTACTGAATTCTTGGTGGTGTTTCCTCCATGATACACCATCTTCTCATTCATCCTCAGCACCTCTAGCCAAGCCAAGACTTCCAACACAGGGGTGTCAAACTCATTTGTTACAAGGGCCAAATCTGACATAGATGTCACTTTGTTGGGCCGGGCCATGTGTGCCATAAAATACAATGCCAGGTACCGGAGATATAAACTTCATAAAGGACATAGGCAAACCCAATTAACGATATGATTTTTCACTCAAAATACAAACAATAGCAATTGATTCCTTATGGTGAAAGCAATTGATTTACTGGGGAGCCCACAGAAGCCCCAATATATTTATTTAATCATATGCAAGACTAGTTTTTCCCCCAAGGGATACCAGAAAAGGGAGAGTATGGTCCCGATCACACGCACAATTAGCCGCACCATAGGCGCGAATGCCAGGTGGATTTAAAGGGCGAGATCAGACACGATCATCTGGGAAATGCCACGCACCTGCCAGCAGCCCATTTTGCTCTGCCGCAGAAGCAGAGTAAAAAGACACCAGGGAAAGTCCAGTAGCAAACAGGTTGCTACGGGCCACGGACAGACTTTCCCCTGTCTGATCGCTCCAGCGTGCTCTCATGGCATCGGGATGGTCTGATCAGGCCATCCCGACTCCGTACCGTTGTTTATTCCCCCCTTCTCAGTATGTGTATCATTGCACCCTCCATAGGGAGCCCTCAGTGCTGATATGTGATTCATTGATTCCCCATTTAAGTGCATCGGGACCAAACAGCAAAAAATCCCCACCCTGACTCACCCGCGGTTGCGTCTGATCATGCTGTGGCAGGGTGCCCCTGCAGCTTCGAAGGACTGTGTGATCACGCAACTGCGGATCAAATTCCTCCGGGGAAATAGCCTCACTTCCCCCCCCGCATTATCTCGCGTGTGTGACTGCCACCTATCTTATATTCCCATACATACCAGTTGCTTGTGGGCTGGGTAAGAGCCCTGGATGGCCCAGTTCTGGCCCCCGGGCCTTATGTTTGACACCCCAGTTCCAACACCTGCAAAACAGGAGGCATTGGGGCCCTTACACAGCCAGGAATCTACTCGATCTACATTTAGCCAGCTTTTATACTGAGCCACTCTGGACTACAGATTGAAAGATTTGTGGGCCTGAGATGGCGGAGGAGGAGAAGCAGCGGCAGTAGCAGCTGCTACTGCTGCTGTGGCCCTGCCTCTTGGCTTCTGTCACTGGCTCCTGTTGCCCCACCGGCTGGCTCGCCCTCCAGCTCCTCATCCTGCCAGTTCATTTATTTGCTTATTTAAAACATGGATTAGCCACTTTTCTTCCTTACGGCGCTCAAAGCGGCTTACAATATAAAGAAAATACATCAAATAGATCTCTTTAAAAAATACATAATGCCAGATTTTTAAAATCACAGTGTAGTACTGTTTTAATTGAATGCAATCCAGAAGAAGAAGAGGAGGAGGAGGAGGAAGAGGAGGAGGAAGAGGAGGAGATGATTGGATTTATACCCTGCCCTTCACTCGGAGTCTCAGAGCGGCTTATGATCTCCTTCCCTTCCTCTCCCCACAACAGAGACTCTGTGAGGTCGGGGGAACTGAGAGAGCTCTCTTGAGAACTGCTCTTGAGAGAACAGCTCTAAAAGGACTTGGAACTGACCCAAGGTCACCCAGCAGCTGCACGTGGAGGATTGGGGAATCAAGCCCAGTTCTCCCAGATTAGAGTCCATGCTCCTAGCCACTATACCAAACTGGCTCTCAAATAAAACCATTTTCAGCTGCCTCCTACAGATCAAAAGTGAGGGGGCCAGGCACATGTCCCTGGGGAGGTTGTTCCATAACTGTGGGGCCGCCACTGAAAAGGCACTCTGTCATCTAGCCACCAGATTACTTTCTCTGATTGATAGGACAGTCAAGAGGAACATATGGGAGAAGATATCCCATATTCGGATATCCAAGTCCCAAGCCACATATGGCTTTAAAGGTCAAAATCGACATCTCGAATTGGGCTCAGGCATGGATCAGTAGCCAGTGTAATTGCTGCACATTCTCCCAATAGCTGGAAGTTCTAGGCTGCCTACACCCCCAACATCAGAATGCATTTGGGGCACCACAGATTGGGCAGGGGAAAAAAAAAGCGGAACAGACTCAAAGTGTGTTCATGATGCACAGGGTACGTCTGACTGTGTACAAAGTGTGTTCATGATGCACAGTGTACGTCTGACTGGGGGGATTCACACACAGACACATTAAGAAATTGTAATAAGCACTGTGGTGGCTGAGGTACGTAATAAGATATTCAGAGCAAAACAACAGAGTGAGGAGAAAGTTTAGAACAGGGGTGTCGAACTCATTTGTTATGAGGGCCGGATCTGACATAAATGAGACCTTGTTGGTCCGGGCCATGTGTGTCATAAAATGTAATGCCGGATAGCAGAGATATAAACTTTATAAAGGAAGAAGAAGAAGAGAAGAGATTGGATTTATACCCCGTCCTTCACTAGGAGTCTCAGAGCGGCTTACAAACTCCTTTCCCTTCCCCTCCCCACAACAGACACCCTGTGAGGTGGGTGGGGCTGAGAAAACTCTGACACAAACTGCTCTTTTTCAAGGACAGCTGTGCCAGAGCTTGTGACTGACCCAAGGTCACATCAGCAGGTGCAAGTGGAGGAGGGGGGAATCAAACCCAGTTCTCCCAGGTTAGAGTCCGCGCACTTAACCACTACACCAAACTGGCTACACCAAACTGGACACAAACACAAAGATATATTTTTTTCTTGAAATAAAAACATGCTTAAGACATTAGCTCTTTAAGCTGCAAACCTACTTTTGATTTCTTGACATTCACCACTTCTGAGTCTAGGACCCAGGTTAAAACATGAAATGGCTGAGTGATTAAGAGAGTCTGTCAAAGCAAGCTGTGATGCAGCAGCAGTAGCAGAACTGGAAGCAGGAGATGGCCAGTTCCTGATCCGGCCCCCGGGCCGCATGTTTGACACCCCTGGTTTAGAATATAGCATGTAAGCCAGCCACAGCTGAGGATCAGAAGCCGTAACTATCAGCTGCAGCAAGAAGTGAGCTGCTGGTTAGATGGAGTCTGTTTTTGTAATGCTCGGTAACTCCCAGTACATAGATCCTTGCGGCAATTTGATCATAGGAGAGTGGGTTCCCCACCCCACCCCGGAAAGCCATCAGTCTGTGACTATTGCCCTCCACAGCTACTTTGAACAAAGAGAAACCTCTCTAGTTAAGGAAAGGCAACTAAGCATATGTTAAGAATGCCTTACGGCATCGCGATAAATGATCATGACAGGCATCTCTGGTTTCGGAGCAGGCTTTGAACAGCGAGTGGGTAAAAAATATATATAAAGGAAGCATCATCCAGGTACCCAGAGAATGTGTTCACCACCGTAGTATCATTAGGTTGTCAGCCGCTTTCCCTTGGGACATCTCTCTGCCTGTAACTTCGGTCTGCCTCTCTGGTGCTCATTAGCCTTGGCATTTTGGTTCCAGCTCTGGGCTGTTTCGGGCTCGGCTTGGACGGATTTGGGCTGTGCACGGTTGCAGGGAAAGGCTCGGTTCCATTCCAGATCCGACAAAGTAACAGTGTGCAAATAAGACAAAAAAAACCCCCAAAACAAAATGGAAATCATTTTTTTTTAATCTGCAAATGGAATAGACTCTTCTCCTGCTAGCCTGTTCATACCAGCTGACGTCCCTTTATGGAGCCCATGTAAAACAAGATGGGGAGGAGAAATCATTTCTTACCCCAGTCATCAGCAGTGACATGCTGTCAGGTCAAATGAGGCTGAATGGAAAGGGTCTCCTAGGGCTTCCTTGGTATCTGTTTACGGCTCGGCACAGGCAAGACTCCTTACCTACTGGAGGATTTGCAATATGGTGCAGTAACGGGTTTAAATCGGAGAGACAAAGACTGTGGGTGCCTGCGGGGCACCCAGCCAATTATCCAAAGGCCTGATGCTAATGAATGATGAGCTCGCTTTTCACTTGTCATTTGCCACATCGGGGGAGCATGAGAGGAGGGAGAGGAAGAGCACCATTCTGAAATCATACCTGTGTGATAAAGACAATGAGGGGGGAACTGATGAATAGGAAACACTGGATGGAATCCAATTCAAGGAGCTGGTGTTAACCATCAAAGTCCTTCGTATCTGCAAGGCTGCCTCTCTCCCTATGAGCCCTGTAGGACATTACGTTCTGCGAACCAGCATCTCCTGGTGATCCCTGGCCCCAGAGACGTCCAACTTGCCTCAACAGGGGCCAGGACTGAGAAAGTTCCCACAGGGCCTGCGAGACAGAGCTCTTCCGCCAGGCTTTTAGCTCAGGCGGTTGAGCATCCGTACTCTGTTGGGCCTCCC